TCAGAATTGCTTGGCCCAAAGTCCATCTAAGCCTTTCAGAGTGCAGTAGGAGTGGTGAGTTCATCCTCGTGCTTACAGCTTGAAAACCGTTTTCAGTGTTTAAAGTATGTCATTTGTTTCATTTCCAAACTTGTAAATAGCTCTCAGTCACCGTTAGCACCTCATCACCAAAGCATTTGTGAGGATATTTTTATGTCCAAAGCCTAATTTGTAATAAAATAATAAAAAAAAACCAATTAAAACATTTCTCTCTTGCAAGCCAAGTTGCAACATCATCATACTGATGTTACAGTGACAGAGCCAGCCTTAAGTTTAACCAGCACAGGGAGTCTGCTGTGACAAATCAGCAGTTCGTAGGCTGGCCAAATATTCCTCTCTAGCTCTGGGACTGGGAGGGGAAACACCCCCCTGGCTCGGGCTTCCCCATCCTGCTGCACCATAAAACTCTGCAGCCTTGCAGGCTGACGATCACAGAGATTTTTCCCTGCCCCCGGCATGCAAGGAGTTTGTCTCAGTGCTGAGTGCCATTGCTGTGCCTGCAATGGGAAATGTCAGTTGTTACCAAAGGTTTTCCTAACGAAATGGGCTTGAGCTGACCACATGTGCTCGGCACAGTCTCCTATAAGGGCAAAAGTCAAATTTACCATCCAAGTAACTGCACTGTGTGCCTGCAATACATCTGCAGCAGCAAAAGCTGTCTCTGCCAGAACGTGGTGGAGATACTCTGCAAGTATTGTTTAATTCTCAGGGCTCTGCCAGCTCTTTTTTTGATCCACCTCCAAGCTCAGCTTCAGGGCAGGAAGGAGACCTGGCCCTTCTCTTTGTGCTTGCTCTATCAGTATGCTGGAGTGGTCAGTATTTTGCTAGTGCAGAGGAATGGAGGCACAGCAAAAAAACCCTACGTTCAGCACCGCATGTGTGCGATACAAGAACAGACCTTGAGGTCCAGGAGCTGCGGTCAGAAGGGCGAGCCTGTGGGATGCTGTGTGCTGATGCAGACACCTAATACAGAGAGGGGAGCTGTAGAAAGGCTTGAAAGAGACGATGTCCACAGAAGGCTAAACCTTCTGGATCAGCTAGAACCTGTTTCCCTTTGCAGTGCAGCAGCACTTCTTAGACAAAAAACAGACTCTCATCCTGAGCAACTGTGTGAAGTATGCAATTTCTTAGCAACCAAAACTTCTTCAGACAGCCGTCATCAAGGGGTGTCTTTAATTAGCACCAGCCTCAGGTACTGCCTCATTACAGGACTGTTTGTACTTCTTCCTATTTGTCAAAGCTGGCTCACTGTGCTGTGATTGTGCTGCCCTTAAAAAAATGTTTATGGAAGTGCGGTTTATAAAACCCACAGCTTTTATTAGGCCTGTGGGTACAGTTTATGCCACAGTCTTTCTGCTTAGCATTAATACAAACAAAATCTCGTGTGTCACATGAAATCTGGAGTTATTTATCATTTTATTTTCCTACCTCCTGCATTTGCATCTCAAACTGCAAGAGTAGACACTTTGGATGTACAGGAAGAAAAAGCTGGATTGTTTAAGGGAATATTTAAGTCTCTCAGTGCTATCAAATAACAGAAAAAAAAACCCAAAAGGCTGAAAGAGGATATATATTTTAGGTATTGGTGCTCAGATTCAAAGAAGAGATTCCTCATCAAGGGAGAGCTGGAGGTGCTGAACTCTTTAAGATTTTGAATGTTACAGGGTTGCTTTCCTTTATGGTTTTGCTTTTTCCATATTCATGTTAGAAACTGCTAACAGGAAGGTGCCCCTCTTCCTGGACACTGCTCTTCTTACAGCACATTCAGGAAAACATGAACCCTTTAGCTTTTCCCGATTTGCATTTTATCTCAAAGATTTCTCTTGCCTGAATACTATCAAGTTGACATGAAATGCTGCCATATGAGAAATACAGAGGAAGTATTCTGACCTTGCTCTCCTGAGATCTTTTTCAGCCAACCTGTGGCCTCTCTGCAGATGTGACAGGTTCTGTAACTCTGTTGTAAGGAGATTACAGAAGCTCAGTAAATAGGCCTGGAGTGAGCCCCCAGAGTGAGAAGCACCGCAGCCAACCTCTCTGCACCACAGCCACTCTCCTTTGCAGCATTCTCCAGCTACTGGAATTTTTTTTTGTGCATGAAATGTTGCCTGTAACAAACAAGGGGAACACAGTTTCTTATAAAGCTCTGTTAGGCCTTTACAAAGCTCCCTAGAGAGCAGCTGACCCTGAGAGGAAGCTTTCTGCTTGCAGCTTTACCACTCAGGGTATTCCCAACATGGCCGAGTGAAGGTGCGGTGGTAGCTGCACCCTCTAGCTTCTGCAGCAGCTTCAGACCAGCCAGAATCACCAACAATGTTAGCACCAGAGCAACACAAGCTCGGCACATTCCAGCACTACGCACACAGCCACCACCTCCAGATGTCCTCACGGTGCTCCTACCCTGCACGGACACCTGAGTGCAGTTGCTCACAGTGTCACCGCCGGGCTGGGTGACAGGCCTGCAGCACGGCAGCAGCAAGGGTACAGCAAAACACAGCCCAGAGGGCTTGGTGACATCCAGGCTTTCAAATTTACCCAATTTGTCTCTTCTTTCTTGTACCATCCTGTTTAGTCTCTCTGCCCTTTTATTTTCAATGACTCTTATTTTTTTTCAGTAACATTTATCTTTAAAAGCATTTTACTTTTAAACTAAGTTAATGCTGAGACAAAGTCTGTGCTCTCAACTGACCTACCTGTACAAGTTCTGTGGCTTCAGCAAAGTTCATTAGCATTTCTGATGATGCTATTAGGCCTTTGTTATGAATACTGTGAATCAAGGCTAAATGGAGAACCACACATTATGACTGGACTATATATAACCATATTTTAATACCCTTGCAATGGGGCAGACTGCGTCAAGTGACCTGGGATAATATAAACTTCGGAGACAGATGCAAAGGCTAGTCTATATATACGAAGGTCTAACAGATAATTAACGCGCACAGAGACTAACCATCTGGGTTTGTTTCTGTTCCTTTCTCTGCAGAGGTACGTTCTCCTCTAACACCGGGCTTGGATTTATTTTCCAGCTCATTCTTTCATGTCCCATCAGCAAATGGTGCTTTCCCAAGGAAACAAAATAAAATCCCATTTTACTAGGCTGGCTGCACACTGCCATCAAGTGATGAATTCTCGTTCTGGGATCTGTATAGTGGTGAGTGTTACCATAGCGTCAGGATGCTAAATATTCGCTGTAACTGTAGTCCTTATTACGAAGCTAGTGAAAAACCAACATCTTCTCTACTCAAGCCATATCTCACCTTCATGTCCAACTCCTGATGCTGGTGCTTTTACTTCTCTTTCTACCAAACTGTTTGGCATTGCTCTGCCACTGAGGTTAATTTGCTGGTAACTTTTGGAAGGCGGCAAATGCAACAGAAAGTGAAAAAAAAAAAGATTAAATCTCAGACTTATTCATCGATATAAGAGCAAACAGTCGGAATATATCGATGCTTTTCAGTCTTTGCAACAATCAACTGAAGGAGGAAAAAAGAAACAGTATTGTTAACAGCTCAGCATTTTCAAGGTGCAAAGTAATTCCACAGCCTTAATTATTTCAGTGTATTGCTGGTCTGCCTTAAATGTATCTTCAGTTTTATTGCGAATTTCATTTTGTATGCACACAATGTTGTTTTGTAAAGGTAAGTTTGTAAATATTTCCTTTGTAAGTCTAATCACTCATGTGTACTGTTGTAAGGTGGTTACTTGCTGTCCCATGTTGTTATTACTATACTGCAGTATATATGATCATCTACAGATGTAGCTTCAAACTGTACATCTTCTGTCCTTGCATTCCTATAAATAGAGTATATGAATGAAGCAGTTTCTGGGCTTTTTTGATTAAATACAGTTGTTCAGAGAAGACCGGGTCAGTCTTATTTCACACACAGAGCAGTCTTTCTGGGGCCTTGAAGACTCAGAACTTGCCAGTCGCTTTATTCAGTGCATTAGAGGGATCTTCACAGGAATCCAGACGGACTATCACTCCAGGCAACTCCTAGCCTTAAATACATCCACACCGAAACCAAGCAGCCTTTTGGGAGTCACCCCGAGACCCAAAGCAGAGTCTTGGGTCACAGCAACCCACCACGCCCTCGTCCAGCACCAGCGGTTCCTGCTTCGCTGCAGAAAGCGGTGCTGCCTCGGGGGGCAAACCCTGAAGGCCCGGCTCCCTGCGCTGGGCCTCGAATTTCCTGCAGAGCGGTCCCCGGTCGTAGGTCGGGCCCCGGGGAGCCGGTGGACTGGGCCTCAGGCCGTGGGACGGGAGAGCTGGGCCCTCGGCCGCGGAAAGGGGGAGGCCAGCATAGCTTGAGAGCCCCACAAGAATCGGTCCCAGGCTGGAGCACCAGAACACTCCCTGACACCGCCCGCCCTCGGGGGCGAGGGGAATGCAGCAGCCCCGCGCATGCGCACAGTGCGCGCCGCCGCCGCCTCTCATTGCTCCGTCATCCCTCGGCACCGGGGCGGCGCGCGGCCC